GTATAAACTGGCGCGGTCAGGTGGAGCCCTCTCCCAGGCTGCAGTCCATCACCCCCCCCCCGGTCCATGTTGCTTGGCCATCCAGACTGCTCAGGCAGAGCCACAGAAATCCTATGGCCATGTCTTGGCCACCTCCCTGCCAGGCAGGGACACCAGGCCCTGCCCACGTGCCCTCAGCTCAGGACCCTCTGCATGGGGTGGGACAAGAATCAGCAGCAAGGCCTGGGGAGTGGAGAGCCCAGTGCTGGGCCTGGCCTTGGCGGGAACAGGACACAGATGTGGCCAGGCCTCCAGGGTGAGGTCCCACTGGGGACATCTGTGGTCTCTGGTTTCAGCCCTTTCTGCCCTGGGACTAACAGCTGCAGCCTGGAAAAGCCCTGCTCCTGGCCTGTGGCAGGGGCAGGGATTGGGCCTCTGCTGGGAAAGGCTATTCCAGCCCTGGTACCAGCACAGCTCATCCAGGGACGGTGGCCATGCCCAGGCCATTGCACTGCAGAGGTGTTGGCAGGACTGCCTAGGCCTGAGCATCCATGTGGGGATCTGGACCCCACCCTGCTACTTTCCTCCAGCTTGAGATCAGGAAGAGGCCAAGGTATGGCTAATGTCTTCGCTCTGGCATGGCAGACCATGGGCAGGGAGCCACATGCCTGCGGGGCCCTTGATGTCCCATGCCGAGCAGCAGTAGCCCCGTGCCTCTGGGTGGCTGCAGCGGGTCACCCCAGGGAGTGCAGGCTGCAGGGTGTGGTGGAGGCTGGGGGTGTAGCCAGGCTGAGCGAGGCAGGGGGTGTGTTGGCGGAGGCAGGTCTGTTGGGGCAACTGAAGCCCACCAGCCAGGGATGGGCCCGACCACGGGGGCTGGCAGGGACCCCGGGGGGGTGGGAGATGGTGATGGCTGCCCTTGCTCAGCAGGGGGAGAACGGTGTCTTCTCAGCACAGAGCATCAGCCTCCTCCTGACTTGGAGCCAAGCACCCGCCCCTGGCAGCCCTGCTCTTTGCCCCTGGGTCAGCATGGCCCCCACCAGCCTCTTTCGTACATCCTCCCTCATCCCTTGTTATCAGCTGTTCCTGCCGGACAGGGCTGGACACCGTGTTCCTGGCGTGGGCTCCGTGCCCCTCCAGCATTGGGGTGGGGGGGTGCAATCGCCCAGCCCCTCCACGCTGATAAGCCGGGAGCAGCCCAGGTCTCGGCCCGCAGTGGGGGCTGTGGGGGTGTGGGGGCGGGAATGCTTGCACATGGCAGGGCACAAAACAGCTTGGGCAAGCTGCCAGGCAGGGGGCTTGGCCCTGGGGGCGGGGCCTGTAGTACACCACTAGCCAGTCTCCAGCATTGTTGCAGTGGGGGGAAAAGGGGGCCATCTTCTTCTGGCCACCCACCCCACGTGGCCAGCAGAAGGTGCCCCAGCCTGCAGGAGGCACTCATCCCCCAGTACCCCCAGAGGCCCCCAGGGCAGGGCCTGAACCCCTAGACCACCCCCCAGTCCAGCTCCTGTTCCCTGGAGGCACTGTTCAGAGACCCCTCACCCCCATGCCTGCCTCTCCCTACCCTGCTCCCTGGGCAGCCACCCTGGGAAAGCTCCTTGCTCTCCCCAGCCCCATGTGCCCCGTGGGCAGGTCCCGGCCCCTGAGCTGGGCTCGCCACATTCATGCCACCCCCTCTGTCCTGTCAGGGTACAAGGGGCCTCCCTGTTCCCTGTGCTAGCCCCGTGGGCACCTCATCCCAGGAAGTGGGTGCCTGCCTCCCACACCGGGCACAGAGAGCCCTGCATGCCCGTAGCCACAAAGGGTGACTGTAGCTGCTGCGCTCACCTGCTGCAGTGCTTCCAGCTGCCAGCTCCCCCCAAGGAGCAGCAGCCAAGGGGCAGTGACCTCTGTCCCTGTGCCCAGCCGGGGGAGGGAAGGGCTGCAGTGGCAACACCACTCCCCTTCATGCCTGGCTTGCAAAGCCCGATCTCCTTGCAGGCAATCGGGGTCTAAGAGTTCATTAGCACCCACCCTGCTTGTGGGCACAACCCAGCACGGTGCCCAGGCCTGGGTGCAGTTGAGTCTGTGGGGACCCTGGGGCTGTCCCGGCCTGGAGCTCCCGGCAACATCGAGCAGCTCAGTGTGCCCCCCTGCCCACTATAGCAGCCTGGGCAAACCCTGGGCGGGGTCCTGCCCTGCGCTGGCCCGGGCACTGCGAGGGTCTGAGGCTCCCCCTGGTGGGCAGTTGTGGGATAAGCTCCCTGAAAGCTCCCAGCCCAGCCCTGGAGCCAGCCCTTCGCTCACTAGTGCGGGCCTTCAGCCTGGGGCAGAGGGGCCCGGATCACTCCATCACTATCATCCCACTCCTGCCCGTGCAGGAGAGTGCCCGGGCGATTGGCGGTTCCTGCTCTCTGCTCCCTCTGCTGCTCCAGTGCCCTACCCCATCCCCCTGCCCCTACCCCAGGCCCTGCCCCCTGGCCCAAGGCCCTGGATCCGATGGGCCTGACTGTGTTGGTGGGATGCAGTGTAGATAGTCTGCACTGTGTCCATGACTCTGTGTGTGTGTGTGTGTGTGTGTGTGTGCGCGCGCGCGCGCGCACGTGCGTACGTGCGTGCACGCGCAAGGGGGAGGGGGTGTGTACAGGGGCCCTGTGTGTGTTGGGGGTATGTAGCAGGGGCATTCTAGGTGTGGGTGTCTGTGTGCGTGTGTGCAGTAGGAGCCATGTGTATGCAGTGTGCACACATGTGTATCTCAGGGGTGCAGGAGCCCAGGCAGCCATGGAGCACTGCGTGGCACACCCCCGCCCTTGGCAGGCCCAGCCTGACAGTGCCATCCACTGCAATGCCCCATTTCAGAGCATGTCCCACCCATGGCACGGCTGACATGGGCACACACATAGACACACACGTGCATAGTCGTGTCCCCCAACATAAGACATACACTCATGCAGTTTCTGCAGGGCAAGGCCAGCCCTTCTCAGCTCCTGGGCACTGTGAGTCTCTGCCAATGCTTTGTAGCAGAGGGGCTGTGCTGCGGTTGACTGGCTGACAGAGCACAACCCACCAGGCTGCCCCGCACCAGGACTGGCAGTGCGTGGGGGTCTCCCCTTCCCCATGGGAGGGGCGTGAAGGTCCCTGAGGCTGCCCTAGGAGCTGGGCCCAGACACCAGTGCCCTCTACCCAGAGCAATTGCCAGGGCAGGGTGCTGGCTGAGCCAAGCCATGACAGTACCATGCCCGCTATGGGGATGCTGGGCCCCACTGCCCTTTGTCTCCCTGCCATGGGGCCTGGTATTCCCCCCCCCGCCCCTGGGCTCAGCCTGCTCTGTGCTTTCTGCAGTCTGAGCAGGATCCCATGCCCATACTGACACGATGCTGTGTCCTCCCACCTCCGCAACGGTGATGCCAAGAGTGGGGGGAGTCTGCTCTGCACTGCCTCCCCAGGGACCCTGTGCTGTGCCCGCAGTTGGGCACTAGCTCATGGCAATGGGGCAGCAGGGAGACTCCTGAAATTCATGACTGATTTTCTATGGGGAATCTGCTCTGGAGGGAAAGGGGCCTGTGGGAAGTGGGGCCAGTGTCCCATGAGCTCTGTGGGCAGCCAGGCACCCACCTGCTCTGGGGCTCCCCTGGGTACCCTCACTCAGTTCCTGTGCCCAGGTGCCCCGATATTCTGCCCTGCTTTCCCCACCTATTCCTTGCCCACTTCTTCATGCCACCCTAGCACCCCCACACACTCCTGGCAACTCTCCCATCCCCACCCCATGTGCTAGGTTGCCTCTTCCTCCTGACAGATGGCACCTGTCTCTAGGTACCAGTTTCCTGCCTGCCAGAGATGGGGCTTGTTGTTGTGGGGATGTGGCCTCTCCCCATGTGGACAACTCAGTACCTGGCTGGCACAGGGGTGTGTAAGCAGGGCTTCCAGACATGGGCCCTGGCTGGAGAAGGACAACTCAGAACAGCCCCTCTACGGAGCTGACGGGGCCCTATGGCCCATGGCAAGAGTCACGGAGAAGTGGGGCTGGAAGGGCCCTCCGGAGTCCAGCTCCCTGCCTGAGGCAGGACCAGCCCTGTCCAAACCACCCCAGGCAAATCCATCATCTAACCTCTTAGTACAACTACCATCAACCCTGGCACAAGACAAGACATCATGCCCGAACCTGCCACAGGGGAGGCAGGGGGATCACAGCAGCCAATGTCCTGCTTCTATAAAACGGTGTTAATATATGCTCAAGAGATCCTCTACAGCTGTGCTTCCAATACAGAGGAAGGAAAATCCCTTCCCACCCACGTCCGTACCAATCTGACCGGGAGTAAATGTGGCAAGTCTGGCCCCAGCGTGGCAAGTCTGACCTTGAGCAGATGGTCAGACCTAAGTCCCAGCAGGAGCATGGGCACAGTCCAGTCATCATCCCCAGCCTGGGCTGCAGCCAGCACCCAAGGCCTCTGAGAAAGGTTTAAAACCCTCCTGACACATGTAGCAGAAAGAGGGTAGGGGACAACTAGCAAAGCCCAGAAGCCTGGAAAATACCTGAAGTCAAACACAGCATCTCTATGCCTAGATCCCCCTGAGCAGTGGCTGCCCAGCCTCTCCCTGAACACCTCCAGCGATGGAGAGGCCGTGGCTTCCCTATGCGCCTGTTCCGCTGCCTCCCTGCTCCAACAGCGAAGAAGTTTTTCCTGGGATGCATGCTTTGCTGCAACATCGAGCGCTTGGTCCATGCCCTACGCTGTGCAGCAAGAGGGGAAAGAGGGGGTTCTCCCTCTGCTTTCTGGCAGATCAGGATTTGAAGCCTGCTACCTGCAGGGCACCAAGCAGCCACTAGGGGGCGCTCCAACCCCACCTGTACCAATGATGGGGCGGGGGCAGGTGACTCCGGGCATGGGCGATGCCAGCCCCAGAGGGAGCTGGGCAGTGCCCAGCTCCTGAGATGGAAAGCCATGAACATGCCAGCTCACACACATGCCAGCCCCTGTGTGCCCTTGTGCCAGCCCCCATGGGTGTGTGGTCAGCAAGGGGACATGGAGCCCAGCTCGGGTTTCACCTGGCGTTTAATAAATACATCATCTCCAATAATCCGTCTGTGTGGGGGGGACCCCAGCCCCCAGAACCATAAATTACACAGCCCCCCAGAACGAGGATGGGGCAGAGGGGGGCAGGGCAGGCCAGGGGGAGGGGGACTGTACACTATGTATAGGTTGGGCATGGGGCACTGTGCTATCTGCCTCTGCCAGGGACTGGACAGCCCTGGCACATGGCCCTGGGCAGTGCCCAGCCCTTGGTGACCCCGAGTGGGCTGCGGCTCTGCCCTCCCTGCATTCATGTTAAGTGCAGAGCTGTCCCTGGCCTCCTGTGGCCCAGATCAGGGCTCCGCTACCGGCTCCTCTGCCAGGCTGGAGCAGCTGAGATGACCCATACCATGGGGCAGAGCAAGGGCACAGCTGGGCTCCTCCAGCACCACTGCCCAGGCCTGAAGGCAGAACCCATCACAAGTTGAGCTGAGGATGTCCGAGGGTCAGTCCAGCCGCGGACCCCAGCCCCAGCCAGCAGGAGACAGCACCGCGGCCGGGGTCCAGACCTGTTCCCCAGCAGCTGCCATGCTGTGGCCACTGGCTGCCCGGCTAGTGGCTCCAGGCCTCCGGGACATCATCGTGGGGCTTCTCGAGGACATCAGAGAGGGTGTCCGGGGCTGCAAGACAGAGCTGGGGTTAGGGATGGCGGGAGCAGGGGGTACCTGGGCTGGGGGCACAGGGGATGCACCAATGCCAGGGCTGCCCTGGGTGAACCCAGCTGGTGCCTGCATGGCACAGAGGCCCTGGCATCCCAGCAAGGCCATGGACATGATGCCCTCCACCTGCCACTCATTGCAGCTGGGCACAATGGGGCGGGGGGACACCAAAGATGGCAGAGAAAGCCGGGCACAGTGCTCACTCACCCTGGCATCTGGTACAGCAGCGGTTCTCCTTCTTGGCACTGCCAGAGCAGGCGGAGGGTGGGCACTCCTGGCGCTGGCAGTGCGTCTCCCCGGCCTGTGAGGGATGAAGGAGGCAGGTTACAGGGGGTCCTGGCCAGGCAGGGGTGGGGGGAGGCTGCAGGGAGATGCCCCAGGGCAGGGGCTGGGGCAAGGCCTGGCTGCACAGAGCTCCTCTGCCAGGAGCCATGCCCATCTCCACCTGGCTGCATCACAGCACTGCACTGTGCAGCCAGGCACATGACCAGTGCCTGTGCCAGCCCCCCACCCTGACAGCATATCCCATACCAGTCCTTGCTCAGCCACTGTGCCAGCCCCACCAGGGAGTGTGTCCAGTGTGAGGCCATGCCCAGCACCTGTGCTGGTTGTGCCAGGAGTCACTCACCACACACCAACAGGTAATGCACTTCATTTCACCAAAGGGGGGCACAGTGGGGTGCCAGCTCTCGTTGTTCATGTACCAATGGCGCCCAAAGCGGCAGGCCCGCGGGCCATCCGCCTGCATCATGTCCGACAGCTCGGGGGGGCTCTTCTCTGGGGCTGCCGGGGCACAGCAGGGGTTGGTGCTGGGCTGGGGAGGGGGTGGGCACTGGGCACACACCTCCACCCCCAGCATCTCCTGCAGGCTGCCCCAAGCAGCAGCCTTCCCTCCCCCTGGGGCAGTCCCAGGCTGCCGGTGCTAGAGCAGGAGCAGCCTGTGATGCATGAGAGCAGGAAGGGTACAGTAGGCACGGGCGCTGAGGGCACACAGGCCCATCAACCCCAGCCTCCTGCCCCCACCGGTGGCAGGTTCTTCCTAGCCTCTAGCCCACCAAGCCCTGGCTCTGAGCAGACCAAGAAGACCCATTTACCTGGGTGGACATGGGACTCACCTGGGCACTGTTTGCAGCAGTCGGAGGGGCTCAGGCGGACGGGGTTGGTGCAGCTCAGGCGCGGGCACTGCACCTTCTCACAGTGCACCTCACCGGTTGCTCCCTGTGGAGAGACAATGGGTGGAGGAGGGCAGCCATGGAGTCCTTTGCCATAGTGGGCACGAGCCCAGGGTGAGGAGCTAGCAACTGGGCTATCCTAGGCCCCCCAGCCCTGGGCTCCCCCTCCTGGGGCAATGCCTGGAGCGTGGCCTCTTCCCATGGTACCTTGCAGGTGCAGACAGCACACTTGATGAGGCCGAAGGGGGGCACCACTGGGTGCCACTGGGTGCCAGCTCCCCGCCATGTCTTGTCACCGTCGAAGTAGCAGCCTGGGGTGGAAAGCAGATGGGGGAAATGTCAGGGCTCTGGCCCTGAGCCGGGTGGGCAACGCCCCAGTGCCGAGATGGGCACTGCAGCCAGAGCCCTGCCCCAGCCCCCCACGCTGCCCCAAGACTCACCCTCGCTGCTGTCTCGTGCCTTCTCTGCCTTTGGCGCATCCTGGCCAGGCTTCTTCTCTGTGCAGATGGGGGCACTGTGAGGACAAGCTGGGCACTCCCAACTCCCCAGCCACCGGCCCACCACTGAGCCCCCCCGGTGCCTTCCCAAGGATCTCCTCATGAGGGGAGACTACAGCTTTGCCTGGCCAAGGGGGAGGGCAGCGGGGCGTCTCCCAGGGGCCAAGCAAGGCTCCTGCTGCCCCCTCCCTCCCCTGGTACCTTCGCAGACAGGGCAGCACCGGTTGTCAGGGTGCACCTGGCGCGTGCAGTTGAGGGGTTGGCACAGGATGGGATCGCAGATCACCGTGCGCTTCTGTGGACAGCAGAGAGGGTTGCAGCTGGCATCAGACTCTGCACCCCCCAGTCCTGGGCTCCTGCTGCGGAAACCGAGGGGGAGCTCCCTCAGGGCAGCAGCAGTAGTAGGCTCTTGCCCTCCCAGGGGCAGGGGGCATGGCATGCCAGGAGCCCCAGCCCTGGAGAGAGGCCAAGGCCAGGGCAGCAGGCCTGAGACAGGATCCTCTGATAGGGGGTGGGGGTAGAAATGCTCCCTGCCCTACACTGCCCAGGCCCGCATGCCCCTGCTCCCTCCTGTCTGCCCCAATGCCCATCACCTGGCAGCTGCAGAGTGAACACTTGGGGTCGTAGGCGGGGGCCCAGCGGGCGCCATGGGCCCGGGGCTGCCCCTCGAAGAAGCAGGAATTGGGATCCTTCTTCAGCTGCTCCGCGTCCCGTGGCCTGGAGGCCTCCGGCAGATCGTCCTCATCCCTGGGGGCCAGGCGCATGCCCCCCACCTCGCACTGGTTGGGAATGTGCACCTGTGGGGGCACGACACGGCATGGCAGAGGGGGCATGTGTCTGGCAGGGCAGGTGGGGTGGAGGGAGGGAGGCAGGGAACTCCCCAAGCCCTTGAGGCAGCACAGGTGGGGGGCTTGGACCTGGCTGGGGGCAGGAGAGGGACCGGGCCAGAGCTGGGAGTTAACTCCTTTGTTTCCCCACACCCCAGGCCTGCGTGGGCATGGCAAACCCAGCAGGGCAGCTGCCCCCATCTCCCACTCCAACCTGGGTCCCACTGGCTGCCCTGCAGTGGGGTGGGGAGGGCATGGGTGGCACCTACCCGGCCCCGCAGCTCCCCGCGGGGGTGCAGCTTGGTGCTGACTTGCAGGAAGGCTGTGCCCTGTGCCAGGTGCCGCAGCAGCTCTGCGTCCAGGTCCTTCACCACGCCCTGGGCCTGGCATGGGGGGCACATGTGAGAGGGACCAGTCCTCCCCGCCAGAGCCCTGGAGCCACCACAAAACAGAGGAGACCTGGGCCCCTCCTCGCTCTCCTGCCTCTCATCTCCCAGCCATGCCGCCCCTCGTCTCCCCCAGCTGCCCCAGGCCTACCCCTTCCCAGAGCCCCCTGCCCAGCCATGGGGCACCCCTCTAGCTCCCCATGCCCCCTCCATGGCTCCTCCGCACAGGACCCCCCAGGCCACTCTCTGCCCCTGTGCCCACCTCAGTGCCATAGAAGCCCTTGAGCAGGCGCTTGGGCTCACGGCTGGGTCCAGCCAGCTCAGCCACACCGTGCAGGTGGGCACTAACGGTGCCATCATCCGCCCGGCCCAGCCCAGCCACGGCGATCTCGTAATGCAGGTGGCAGTGCTCGTCTAGCCACAGCCAGGCATGGCCCCCGGCACCTGTCCACACGGCTGGCACCACGAACTGCCCCGCCAGGGGGGTGGGCAGCACTGTGGGTGAGAGGGTGCAGGGTCAGGTGCTGGGGGCACAGCACCACCCCCATACCTGGTGCAGGGTGAGGTGCACCCCCTATCCTGTGGCACAGGGCACGGGTACCTGCGTATCGGGCCAGGAGGCCACTGTAGAGCAGGGAGCTGATCTGGCCCCGCAGCTCCCCCTCCTCAAAGTCCTTGGTGGCCACATTGAGGAAGAGCTCGTTCTGCAGCAGCATGTGGGCGTCCCGGGCCGTCAGGTCCTGCCATGTCCCGCTGGCCTGACCGCAGTGGGAGGGAGGAGACAAGGGCACAGTGAGAAGCTGCCCCCAGCTCCAGCTCTCACACCAGATGCCAGGGTAACAGCCTACTACTGTTGTCGGTCCTGGCTGGAGCTGCTGCTGTAGCTTGAGCACTGTGGGCCCCAGGTTCACTCCCCTGCCGCGGAGATGGCCAGCCTCCCTGTACAGGCACAGACTGGCTGGCATTGCCCCTTGAGCTTGGACAGGCTGGGGAAGGGGCATGGGGAGCAGAAGAGGGGGGAGATAGGGGCTGTGGCAGCCCGGGGAGAGGCCCAGAAGACAGGGCCCAGCATTGTGGGAGGGGGCAGATCCCTGCGGAGGGGGGTGGGGGGTGACTAGGACACATGGGACCTGTCTACGTGACACTGCTGCTCAGGTGGGGAAGGCTGTGCAGCCTTGTTAGTGCTGCACGGGGCCGGACCCACAGCCCCACGTCAGCTAGGCTGGGGGGGCCCAGGGAGAGCCAGCTCACAGAGGACAGGGCTGTGCCCAGGACTGGGCAGACTCAGCCCCGAGGTCTTTATCCTGCCAGTGGAGCCTCTGAGTGCAGCCGGGAGGGCTGGAGGTGCAGGACCAGCTGAGGGGAGCCAGGAGACTGTGTCCCAGGGCAGTGGAGGGTCTCTGGTGGGACAGCAGCTGGCGCAGCATGTGGCCTTCTAGACCCCATCCACAACTGGCTGGGGGCTTGGCCCCAGGCCGGCTGCAGTGGGAGCTGGAGCCAGCTGGGGGCAGTAGGGGTGTCAAGCAGGGTCCCTGCTGTGAGCTGGCTCCAGGAAGGGCAGAGGAACCCTTGCTGCCTGGAGGGGTCTCCCTGGGAGAGTCCCAGCTGCTCCCTAAAGTGGGTTGGATCCATCCAGGTACCAAAGCCAGAGGCAGACTGATCCTGTATGGCCCTGGCCCCTCCGGGCAGGCCAGGGGTCACCCTGCGGGCTCACCAGCCCATCCTGGTAGCTGGGTGTCATGTCGAACAGGATGTTGCGCCTGCTTTTCCTCCGCGGCTTAGTCTCCAGAGTGATGCTGACAACCTCGCTGCCCGTCCCGGCCACCTGGACCTGTTGGGGGAGAGGTTGTGCCCCAAAGATGGTCTCCATGGGGCTGGTGCCTCTGGCAATACTCCACAGCTGGAGACAACAGCCCCTTGGGGGTCTGGGGAGCCCCCAGCAGCCTCTTGGTGCAGGCGTTTGGCTTAGGGTGCAGGCTCCCCTGTCACAGCACTGCCTAGGGGGGCACTGGCTGCCATAAAACAGAGAGCCCCACTGCTCCAACTACTAGCCCATGCTCCCTTCCTGCCCTGGCCCTGTGAGATAGCCACACTGGGGACCCCAACCAGAGGATCCAGTGCTGAAGCTGAAGGGGGTCACTGGTCCGGCCCACCCAGTGGTTGCAGGTCAGCCTTGTAGAATGAGGGTGGAGAAGACCTGTCCAACTGCACACGCATGGTACATGGGTGTGCCCCCCACCCCCGCCTACCTGGTACTCCAGCGTCCCGTTCTCATGCAGCGACAGCTTGGCAGAGCCCACAGCTCCTGTCTCGGTTGGCACCAGGGCATCAGCCCCACACAGCACGCTTTGGATGGCTGCAAGAAGAGGCACAGGGGCATGGGGCACTCAGGGCATGGCACAGATCCACCCTCCTGGAGCACCCCACTGCCCCATGGCAGCTGGACACTGATGCCTGGAGGGAGTCAGCCAGGGCACCAGGCCATGTGCCACCCATCCCATGCCACAGGGTGGGCAGGACTGGCAGCAGTGGAAGACTCCACCCCTTCCTCAGAAGCCCCACCTCCTCTGTGGAAGCCCTGCCCCTTCCCCAGGAGCTCCAGTCTCTCCATGGAAGCCCTGCCCTCTGACTCCAAGAGTGCAGGGGGGTTTCCTTGCCAGCCCCCGGCACTCACTGTCACAGCTCCTCCTGGGTGCAATGGTGCCGGCGAGCTGGCACGGGGGCCGGCCCTCGCTCTGCACTGCGATCACTAGCTGCCCCTGCCCCAGCCACTGCATCTCACGGGCCGACAGGTCGCTCAACACCTCTGCAAAGTCGGGGGCCTGCGTGGACAGCAAAGGAGGACGGCAGCAGTGCTCAGCCGAGGCAGGAGATGCCTTTGGGGGGCAGAGGGGGAGGGGAAGGGAGTGGGGGTGCTTACCTCCGCCGTGATGTTGGTCCATACCTCGCGTACCACCCGGCCCTGGTGCTGGATCTGGAGCCGCAGGGGAACCCACGGGAGCTCTGGGTGGAGAAGGGCAGTCCATGTGGTACCCCACCATGCCCCTGCCAGCCCCCACCCCACTGACCTCCCCTCACACCCAGTCCGAGCACCCAGCACATGCCCCCACCCCCCTGCCATGACCCCCCAGGCCACCACACACCTTCTCATCCAACCGCTGCCCCCATACACCCCAATCCCCCACCAAGCAGCCATGCCTCACAGCCCCCCCCACCTCCCAGGTGCTTGCACCCAGCTACTGACCCCACAACTTGACCACTTCCCATGGGCCCTGCCCCCCACAGACACATCCATCCCCATAGACAGTCATAGAGAAGCTGGGCTGGAAGGGACCAGAGCTCATGCAGCCCAACCCCCTGCCTGAGGCAGGATCAGTTCTGTCCAAACCACCCCAGACAAATCCATCATCCAACCTCCTGTTAAAACTACCATCAATCTGGACACAAGACAACCCAGGCCTCTGGCCCGACCCTGCTCCTCACCTTGGGCGCCCGGTTCCAGCAGCCCTTTGGCCATGAGGAGGAAGTGGAGATTGTTCTCTGTGTCACTCAGGGTCAGCATGGCGATGCCACCCACACCCAGGTGCGTCGGGTCCACTGAGGTCAGGATGGCGCTGAAGGTCTCTGGGGCACAAAGGTCACACAGGTCACTCCAGGCAGGCAGAGGCAGGAAGGGAGGCGGGTCAAGAGGAAGGCACCTGGTGTGGCCTGGCTGGAAAAGGTGCGCAGGGCCCCTGGCAATGGGATGCTCCCCAAGGGGTGGAGAGTATTCCTGGGGCCTGGCCGGGGCAGGGGAGGGGAGGAGAGGCCTCACCGGCAAAGAGGGCCCGGTGCTTGAAGATCTGGCCCCGGATCTCGCCAGCTGGCTGTGCCTTGGTGACCAGCGAGACGCGGAGCTGCTCGGCCCGCAGCAGCCGGATGGAGGGTTTGTGCAGGTTCCACCACACGCCGCAGATCTGCGGGGAGCGGGAGGTGCTCAGGGGGTGCCCCAGCCCCGGCCCCAGCCCCAGCCCCAGCTCCCAGCAGCACCCCGGCCCTCTCACCATGGTGTCCCGCGGGTCCACATTCCTCTGCACAGGGTGCTCGAACAGGACGCTGCCATCGGGCTCTGTGAAGCGGACGCGGCTTGGCCGGCCCAGCCTGCGGAAAGGAACCGGCACCAGACCAGGCTGAGCTGTGGGGCCTGCCTGGAGCTCCAGGACCTCCCAAGTGGTCCCAAACCAGCCCCAGCAGGGCCAAGGGTCCTGGCCAGCCCCTGCCCTAAGCGGGGGCTCCTGATGTGCTCCCTGTCTGGAGGGAGCATGGGGAGCTGGGCAGTGCCCCCGCTGGCCCTGCTGGGCTCCAGGTGCAGCTGCTGGATGGGAGCCAGGCTGTGGAGCTGCCTCCACGCGCCATCGAGACTTTGGGCGGCTGCGCCAGGCCCTCCCCCGCCACCCAGCCCCTCCAAAGGAGGGAGAGGGGATGACTGCATCTCCTGGGCTGGGTCCAACAAGGCTGGGCCATGGGAGGACACCATCCCCCGGGCATGGGGGGTAAGTTTGGGTTGGGGCATCTGGGGTGGAGGGCACTGGGGCTTCTCCTGGCTGGCTTGCTGGCAGCCAGAGTCTCTGCATCATCCCTCGTGGGGCCAGGGGCAGGCTGCAAGCGCCAGACATGCACCGGCACTCTGGCGTCTGGCAGGGCGGGAGCCGGACAGGCCTGGCGTGTGCCGAGGCGTGTACACAGGCGCTGCCATGAGTGCATGCATGCTTAGGGATGGAGGTAGCATGGTCAGTGGGGTAAGGTGGAAATCTGTGGAGCAGATTTTTGGGCAGCTTCCCCCAGAGCTTTGCTGGGACACCCCCCCTGGGACAGGGAAGGGGCTGGGAGCTCCCTCTCCCTGCCCCACCCCACAAGCCTCCTGGTCCTGGCCTGGGGCCTGGCTCCCTGCTCCAAATCCCCCTTAGCACCTGGGGATGTGCACCTACCATCACTGCCAGGCTTATCTAACATAGGCTTTGCATCCTATAAGGGGCTGGGGCAGGTGCCTCATCTGCACAGCGCCCGTAAGGTCAGGAGGCATCAGCCCTACACACCTGGCACTACCCCAGGCACTGGGGGGAGGTGGGGTCAGGCCCAGAAGCAGCCCCAGGATGTCGCCTCTGGATAGGAGGCACCTTGATGCAATGGCTGGGCCCTTGGCTGTGTATGCAGAGCCCCAAACCCGGCCAGGGATAATAAGCATTTGAGCTCCTCTGGCTACACGGCTCGGCCTGGAATTAGTCACCACTTTACTATGCAAAGCCTGGAAAGGAGGAGGAGAGCTGCAGTGCTGGGAAACAGGGCCCAGCCTCCCCTGTGTCCAGATGTGGGGATCCCCAGGCTGCCAGGGTGATGGGAAGGGGAGGGGGGTGACAGGCTGCTGCTCCCCAAGCCTGCCTGGGCTGGGGATCCCCACTAGCAGCAGCTGGGGGCATGGGGAGGCTGGGAGGGGGCTGGGCCCACGACCATGTGTGCTTGGATCCTGTTTATTGGCTGTCATCCCATTCCCTTGAATTTGTTTTTAATAAAAACCTTGAGGAAAGGAATGTTCCTGCTTGGGACGGAGCCTCGGAGCCTCGCGAGCCCCGGGAGGACGGGCTGGGGCAGCCCAGCTGTTCCACACGCCAGGCCAGCTGCCCCACAGCCATAGTCAGCCAGCAAATGGTTAAAATACCCCCTCCCCCCCCACCCTCCCAGTATCCGCGTGGCCACAGCCCTTTGCATCGTCAGGATTTGCTCCCACCTCTGCCCCAGAATCTGGGGTGCCTGGGGAGCTCCTTGTGATGCCCTGGTGGGGGGAAGGCAGGTGGCTCGTGGGCCTCAGGGGTGGGGGCACTCACCGCTCATAGCTGATGGAGAAAAGCAGGTAGGAGCGCACGAGGGTGAAACTGGCTTTGGCCACGGCGCCAGACGCAGGCTGTGAGGCACTGGTGAGCAGGGCCACAAACTCTGTGGCAGGGGGAGACAAGGTCAGTGCACGAGGGGCACTGGCAGGCATGGAGGTCTGGGCACCTGAAGAATGCCACCACCCCCCTCTCAGGTGGCATCAGAGCAGGCTGCGTGCCAGGGCTGGGAGCTCCTAGCCTCAGCTTTGCAAGTAATAGGCCAGCCCCTGTTTCAGCACCTGTTCCTGTTCCTGCCCCTGCCTCAGCCCCATCTTGATCCCAGCTGCCTTCAGCCCATGGGCACCCTGGTCAGGCCGGAGCTACCTGCCCGGCTGTCGTCCCGTGCCAGGTCCTCGGTGCTGAGGTAGGAGCGGTCATTGTGCAAGCTGTCCTCCTTGTCCTGGAAGTTCTCAAAGCCATCCAGGGGTGGCTCGCGGCTCTTCTCAGCTGGGGGGAGAGGAGACATCCTGGGTCAGGGACTGGTGCCCCTAGCGCAATGGAGGGGAAACTGAGGCACAATGAAAGGCAGGGCTGTGCCGGGCTTGTCCTGCCAGGTCTGGGCAGGCTCAGGAGGGGAATGCATGCCTCTCTGGCCTTCCTGCCTCTAAGCCAGCCACATCCAGGGTGGGAGGCAGGTGGGCATGGGGAGGAAGGGGCAGGCTGCTGCCCTGTGGCTTCCCTGCTGCCCTGTGCATCCCTGCCACCCTCTCTCGGGGCAGGGACCCTGCCACCCCTGGCTGTGACCCCATGAGTGGTTTCCAAGGGGAAGCCTTCCGGTGCCTGCAGTCACCCCCTGCCCCAACTCCCGGCCTGTGCTGGCGGGCTGGCCCGTCACATGTCTTTGGTCACCGCTTCCCGTTGCTGTGAGACCCAAACAAACAGGGAAATTCTCTCCACAGGGAGAAATGAGGACACCTCAGCCCACACCATGGCTACAGCCACAGCCATAGCCACAGCTCCCTCTCCGCCCAGCTCGGCCCGGTCCTGCCAGGGTCTATGCCTAGTATCCCCTCCTAGCCACAGCCTTACCCTTGGGGCAGGACTTGCAGCAGTGGCCTGGCAGCAGGACAGCCTCGCTGCAGGGTAGGGGGGGGCAGTCGTGCTTAATGTTCTTGCAGCTGACTTTGCCCGTGGCCTTCCCTCGGCGGCTCCTCTGCTGCAGGGGGAGAGAGGTGTGTGCACGGGGGCTGTGGGGGGCAGGATGCAGGGAGCCTGCCTGCTGCTGGGGAGGCAGGGTGTGTGCATGCATGGATGCATATATATGTGTGCACACTCGTGTGTGTGCATGTGTATGTGTACATACATCCATGCATGTGCACATGTGCCTGTACAGGTGTGCAGGTATGTGCATGAGTGTATGTGTGGGTGCAGGCACATGTATGTGCATACGTGTGTGCATGTGCCCGCGTAAATGGCAGGGCACCTCACTGCTCCAGGGGACCTCGGCAGCACGGATCCAGGGGCAGCCTTTCCCCACCTCTCCAGGGTGAAGAGGGCCTGATGGGGGAGCTGCCTGCTGCAGCCCTGGGGGCTGGGGTAGGTGAAATGCAATGGGGCTGCACATCCTCCATGAGCTGGGGCTGGGATGGGATGGTCTGGGGCTGGGCTTGGCCAGGGCTGGGGTTGGATCCTGGGTGCAGTGATGCAGGGGGTGGGCTAGGACAGGGCTGGGACTAGGCTGGGACAGGGCTGAACAGGGCTGGGCTGGAGCTGGGTCCCCGTGGGGTGATGCAGGGGGGCAGGCTGGGGCTGGGTCCCCGCGCGGTGATGCGG